ACGGCGCGGCCCACGGGCAGGCTGAGCGCCAGCGAGCCCTGCGGGGACAGCGCAGCGTCGGGGCCGGGCCCGGGACCCCGGCCCAGCCCGGGACCCCCGGCCCAGCCCGGGACCCTCCCTCACCTCCAGCAGGTCCCAGAAGTAAACGCGGCCGTCCTCGGAGGCGCAGCCCACGTGCGTGTCCAGCTCGTTGAGGACGCAGTCCAGCCTGTACGTGGTGCTGCGGTGGCCCGTGTACCTGGGCGCGGGGGACGTCGCTGAGCTGGGGGGGGGGGTCCCCAAAACCCCCCAGAGCGCGGGGATCTGGGGGTTTGGGGGTCCCGTACTCGCCCAGCAGCCCCAAAACCCCCCAGAGCGCGGGGGTCTGGGGGTCTGGGGGTTTGGGGGTCCTGTACTCACCCAGCAGCCCCAAAACCCCCCAGAGCACGGGGATCTGGGGGTCTGGGGGTTTGGGGGTCCTGTACTCACCCAGCAGCCCCAAAACCCCCCAGAGCGCGGGGATCTGGGGATCTGGGGATCTGGGGGTCTGGGGGTTTGGGGGTCCTGTACTCGCCCAGCAGCCCCAAGACCCCCCAGAGCGTGGGGATCTGGGGATTTGGGGGTTTGGGGGTCCTGTACTCGCCCAGCAGCCCCAAAACCCCCCAGAGCGCGGGGATTTGGGGATTTGGGGGTCCCGTACTCACCCAGCAGCCCCAAGACCCCCCAGAGCGTGGGGATTTGGGGGTTTGGGGGTTTGGGGGTCCCGTACTCGCCCAGCAGCCCCAAAACCCCCCCAGAGCACAGGGATCTGGGGATTTGGGGGTCTGGGGGTCCCGTACTGACCCAGCAGCTCCAAAACCCCCCCAGAGCGCAGGGATTCGGGGATTTTTTGGGGATTTTTTGGGGATTTTTTGGGGATTTTTTGGGGATTTTTTGGGGATTTTTTTGGGATTTTTGGGGATTTTTTGGGGATTTTTTTGGGGTTTTTTTGGGGATATTTTGGGGATTTTTTGGGGGTCCCGTACTCGCCCAGCAGCCCCAAAGCCCCCCCAGAGCGCGGGGATCTGGGGATATTTTGGGGATTTTTTGGGGATTTTTTGGGGATTTTTTGGGGATTTTTTTGGGTTTTTTTTGGGATTTTTTTGGGATTTTTTGGGGGTCCCGTACTCGCCCAGCAGCTCCCCGGTGTCCTTGTCCAGCAGCCGCAGCGTGGAGTCCAGGCTGGCGGCCAGCACGCACTGCCCGTCCTTGCTGAAGCACACGCTGGTGACGGGGCCTGGGGGCACACCGGGGGGAGTTTGGGGGGTCCCACCGAGCCCCCCACAAGTTTTGGGGAGTCCCCCCCTCAATCCCCACTCACTGCCCAGGTAGTCGGAGCAGAGCTGCCCCGCGCGGAGGTCGTAACGCCGGACCCGCCCGTCCACCGAGCTGCGGGGAGATGGGGAGAGAGGTTTAGGGGGTGTCCCCCCCGAAATTTGGGGAGCCCCCTGGTGCTGGGGGGCTCGGGCTCACCCCGTCAGGATCTCGTGGGCTGAGAGCTTCACGCTGGAGATGCCGTCCTTGGCCTCGTCCAGCACCTGCACGGGGTCGGGGCGGCGGGAGCGGCAGTCCCAGCAGCGCACCGAGGAGTCGATGGAGCCTGGGGGGAAACGGG